ACTAATTTTCCTGGGGACTCCTCCATGTTAATCATGGTTCTCTATGGGTCAAGGGAAAACACCAACTTGTTTACATGTGATGTCGCACTAACTCAGGGTGTTTCCTGGGGAGGGCAGTCGGTGGTGCCTGAGTTAAAGTCAGTAAGGACTTGCCACCCGGTTGATGTTTGTACCAAAGGGCAGGGCTCTGTGTCTCCTGCCCTTCCAATTCCTGAAAGTGGAAAGGAACATCCTTGGTACTTCTGCTAACTCCTGGTGCATACCAGGGCCTGGTAAGCTTGGCAACTGCTTCTAACATTTAATATCAGGCTTGTTCTCTCTTCAACCAGCAACATCCACCCACAAGGCCACCCGCTTAAGACTCTCCACATCATTTCGAGCACGCATTAGGATGGGGCAGACAGCTGGAATGTACAATCTTCTTTTGGTCTCTTAAAAAAACTTCCCTAGGATAAAAGAAGCTGAAAAACATTTCCAACGCTCTCCTACAAGTGCACTCCCCTCATGCCCCAAAGAAGTCAGAACTGCAAGCTATTCCTTGCAGAGGCTTTTCAAGGGCTTATCTGCCTGAAGGGCAGCGGATCTCTGATGGTAACTTAATGAGCAGGTGACAACAGCTTCCACTACCAAATCTTGCGGTTCTTCAGGTTTAAGACAAAGCTGAAGTAGAAACATTAATGTGTTCTCTTTTTCAATGGATGTGCAGCTCAGATATTCTTTCTTTTAAAACCACAAATTTTAGAAAGTAATTAAGTCAGTTATTTAGGGACAAAAAAAGAGCAGAATCCATATTAAGCACATAGATTTTCTGTTTTATATCTAAAAGGTCATCTGAAAGCACTCAGGTTTCCATAGTAACTGGTAGGCCTGATCAAATCAACAGATAGCTACCATTTGTCCAAGGGTCTCCAGTGAACTATATATAGAACTATATATATATATTTTCTACCTTTCTGGAAAAGAACATCCTGAATTAGATAAAGTAGTCAAAGACAAAGCACTTCTGGAAAATCCAATTTCAACAATAGCACCTAGAGGAGAAAAATACTTGCTTGCTCTTTCTATACATAACCTAGCAACAGTCTCATATGTTGATTTCGGCACTTTAACTGCAGGAGTAACTGGGTCATCTTACTTATTCATCACATTCGTGGTCTCCAAATGTATGCACGTGCACACACACACACACACGCACACTCATGAGGCCATCTGCAGTACCGCTACGCTGGTTCCTGTCAGGCTTCTTGTACCTTGGCACAATCCCCACAGCAAACAGATCCTTCCTGATCCTTGCTGTCTGGCTGGTGGGCTGTATCAAGCCTCTGAAGCCACTGGGTCTGGCCCTGCCAAGGTAACTGCAGTGGGACTTGAAATCCAATACATCTAGAACTGGCTAGTGTTAAAGCTGATAATCTTGCATGGTCTGCAAATGATGTTATTAATAGCCAAATGGCCTTTGACAGGAAAAAGGTTCTTTATTCATTCTAGAGGCTGGGATAGCTCTGAGTAATCATACACACAAGAAGATCAAGGCACACACTTGTTCTGCACTTGTCTGTAGGCCAGCTGGAGGAGGATTCTGCAGGTGAGGCTGCTCCAGGCATCCTGATGAGATCCCCGGGCCCCTCTCCCCATTTCTTCTCTTCATGTCAGTCATCTGGGCAAGCCCTTGACAGAGCATCCTGTGCCTTCTCACTGTCCATCTCCCTATTGCAGGCCTAGACTCCATCTGAGTTCTGAGCTGGGCTGAGGGAGAGTGATGCAAGCCAAGTGAAGCTGTTACTTTCACCCTCTTCATTGCATGCATGCTTGGGTTTTCTGCACCAGTGGTGTAAACTTTGCTGCACTCCCAGGCTCCCACAGAGATTTTCTCATCTGTGGATAGCTGTCACATCTGACGCTTCTGGGTCAAGTGTTTGGTGTGGTGGTTAAGATATCACTTGGGATATCCACAGCCCATACTGGAGTGCCTTTGTGTCCTGGCTCCTCCATTCCAAATTCCAGTTTCCTGCTAATGCACACCTTGGGAGACACCAGTCGATGGCTCAAGAACTTGGTTCTCTGTCACCCATGTGGGAGACCTGGATTGAGTTCCTGGCTCCCAACTGCAGCTGTGGCTCTAGTCCCTAGTCATTGCAGGTGCTTGGGGAGTGAACCAGAGGATAAGAGCATTCTCTCACTCTCTAATACACAGATTAAAAAAAAAATTAAAAACACACACTTATGTGGGCCGAGAATTGTGAGAAACAGATCCAGAACTGCACATCAGCACTATATTAAAATTGGAGGGACCTTTAACAGGTTTACGGGCAGTGGAATAAGATCTCTTTATTTTGGTGTAAAATATTTTGAAATCCATGTATATGTAAAAGTCCTTCAAAAATTTGATGGCAAATGTGTACTGCAAAAACACTGCAGAGTTCTATGGATGAACAAAGCTTGCAATGAGCTAAGCACTCAGGTTCAAACAACTTGCAGCAGCCTTGGGGTGTGGGGCCATGAAAGAGTGGGGCAGGGCACCATGAACCGGGAAGCCAGGGTGCTGAAGGGCTGTCAAGAAAGGAGACGGGGCAGACCAGCACTGCAATATAGCAGGTAGAGGCGTTAGCATCCGGTGTGTGTGTGCTGCTTCACTTCCAGTCAGCTCCCTTGCTAATGCACCTTGGAAAACAGTGGAAGATGGTCCAAGCGATGGGACACCTGCACCCCAGTGGAAGACCTGGCTTTGAATCAGCACAGTTCCAGCTACTGCAGCCATCTGGGGAGTGATTCATCCAAAGGAAAGATCTGTCGGCACCACAGGCAGAGGCTTAGCCAATGATGCTATATCACTCTCCCCTATTCCCACTTCTTCCTTTTATTTTTTTAAAGAGAGAGAGAGAGAGAGAGAGAGAGAGAGAGAGAGAGAGAGAGAGAGAGAGAGAGAGAGATATGTAGAATTAAACCTTGTGCTCTAGATAACTGTGATTGTGGGACCACCAGTCACCTATGAGGGTGGCAGGAACCTAGTTACTCGAGCAATCATCAGGGCCTGTGAAGCTAAAGTCAGCAGCTGGAATTAAGAGCTGCAAATGGAGCCCATGCACGCCCCTGTGGAATGCAGCTATCTTAACCACTAGCTAAACGCCTGCTCCCTCAGGAATGCTAAAAGCAAGAGTGAGAGAGATAGAGTGGGAGACAGAGAGAAAGAGATGCTCCAACCTGTGGTTCATTCCTCAAATGGTTGTTAATGGCCAGAGCTGGGCCAAGCCAAAGCCAGGAGCCAGGAATGATGATTTTCCATTAACAAGGAGTTGGAACAAAAGCCAAATCACCTGGACTATCCTCTTAGCTTTTCCCAGGCACATTAGCATCAAGATCAATTACAAGTGAAGCAGTCAGGATATAAACCCACACTCATATGAGACGCTGGTGTTATAGGCTATGGTTTATCTGCTATGCCACAACACCATCTCCCTGAGTTTTCTTTTAAAGATTTTTATTTTGTTTATGTGCAAGGCACAGCTTAAAAGAGATACAGAGAAACATATACACAGAGGGATCTTGCATCTGCTGATTTATTCCCCAAATGGCCTCAACAGCTTTGGTCAGGCTAGGTTAGGAGCCTAGACGTCCATCTGGGTTTCCAACATGGGTGGCAGGGGCCCGAGAACTTGGGCCATCCTCTGCTACCCTCCCAGCCACATAAACATGGAGCTAAATCAAAAGCAGGGTAGTGGGGGTGGAGTGCTGACACCATATTGCCATGGCTGAGTCCACTGTGCCACAGTTCGGGCCCCTAGTTCTAAGTTTTCATTATCTGCCAACATTATAAGAAGTCAAACCCTGTTTATGATAGAAGAACCTGAAATGTCGGCTTCTCTCGAACAAGTGAGCTTGTGTTTGTGCAGAACCACAATCAGCAATGCGGAGTTATGGAGGCTCCACATTCGGCTGGGCTTGATTTCACTGGCTTTCCCCAGACCCCACCTCTGCACGCTGCCTCACTCACTCTAAGGCGATGGTTAGCTGCCGTATGTTCACATGGCCTATGAATCATTTATCTTCCTTATAGCTCCTGCCTCTTGGTAAGTATTGCTAACATCCACTTTCACTTGGCATCAGGGTCCCATAACACGAGGGTTCTTAAACACTTTTTTGATCCACCGTCTTTAGGATTCATGCTGTCCAGATGAGACCTTTATGTATCTGTTTGTGAACAACAGAACACGGAAGACAAGACTACCAGCCTGCCTTCCCCAGTGATGTTTACAACAATCAGAGGTTGTGACATGGAACTGCAGCCAGGTGCTTACAGAAGACAAAGTTGAAAGCAAGCTGAGATGTTTGAAAGAAAAGAAAAAAAGGGAGAAATGGGAGAGGAAAAGAGAGAGAGAGAAGCTAGGAAAAGAGAAGCAGGGGAAGGAAGCAAGATGAGGAGGCAGGCAGAAGCCAAACCCAAGCACCAACCGGGAAGAAGGGTAAGAGGCTGGCAGTTACTAAAGGTCTGGGGCCAAAGTCAAGGGAATCCCAAACACAACGGAAGAGCTCTTTAAGCTGCCCCCTGGCACAGGATCAGGAACATTCTGCTTTCTGTAGGAAAAGAATTTGAGATGCAGACAAGATTTCAGAACCCCACATACAGCCTCTAGGAGAGGTCAAACCAGCGTCTCCCGTTGGGAGGAACACAAGCCCTTCTTACAGGGATCCTTGCTCATCTCCCTAGCGAGGTGCAGACCAATTTCTTATTCAGAACTTAACCATGCTCTCATTTTCTCCACATTTCCAATCCTCACTCTCTAAATGATAATAGACACAGAACATCAGCAGCTGGCACAGGGAAGTGATTATAGGCAACATTTGTGTTTTTAAATAAAGAAAAAGATTAACATTTAAATTACTTTTTGCCTTTCAACAGAGTACCCACAGCAGTTTGGTGCTGCTCAAAGTTCTGCTTTATGTAACTGAGGAAAGATGTGTCCAGTGTCCTTGTGTGTGGGGGGGTGTGGGGAGGTTCTCACCTCGAATTTCTGCCTGAGTTCTGCATTTCCATCTTCGTCGCCCTCTGGAATGGGCACATTGTAGTATTCCCCTTCTTCTTGGTTCAGCAACTTGTACCTGTCAACGACACAAGCAAGAAGGAAGTTGGGGTGCTGTTTCAGTACCCCATGGGTGCACAACCATACTCAACCTCTAATCAAGCTGCTTCACGAAGCACATCGTGGGCAGACACCACCAGCAGCGCTCTGCTTGGCATCAGAGTCTCTAGACATCCAGGATTTGGAAGCACTGGTGGTCTTGGGGCCTTGCTTACCATCCGCTTGCCGGCATCTTCATTAGCTCTGAAACACCGAAGGAAAGCGATCCCATGAAGTCATTCCTCGTGGTTCGATCCCAGTCCCAGATTTCTACAGATAGTCGTCGGTCTTTGTCAGAGGGTTTCAATTTGCTGCAAAACACAGGTGTACGCACACACATGGTAGGTTATGTGGATTGTGATTTCCTGGGAGATGTGGCTTGCCCACTTTAAGTCTGAGAAACAGTGTATTCTCTGCTTTTCCGGTGCCAACAAAACACCAGTTCCTTATGCCAGCAAGCAGAGCCCTAGGCCAGGGCTTAGCTAACCATACCCCTTTATAAAACTGCCCACTGCCTGTTTTACAAAGTTTTATGAGAACATAGCCACGGCCATTTGTTACAGATAGCTCATGGTTGCTTTGGCACCTGGATATCAGAACTGCGTGTGTATGACAGGGTCTGTGTAGGCCACAAGTTCAACCCCACACACAGCACAGCGGCTTCCTGGGTGGCAGTGGACATGGAGGACTGTGTGCCTGGCTCAGCTTCTCCTTCCTCCCCCTCATCGATATCTACCTCTGAAGTTCTGGCAAATCCTTCAAGGTCCATTCTAAATATCACTACCTCTGAGAAGTCTTGCCTGAATGAAGGTGAAGGTGACATGTCCCTTCAACACCAATGAGAACTTCTATGTTATTCAGCTTTCAACATCATGACTTAAATTCTTGCCTCATGCCCTTCTCTCAGACAGACAAGATAACACTTGGCACATTTTTATATGGGCTGCAGCAGCTCACATAGAATTCTTCATTATAGAACAGGCAGTGATCATCACAAGGGCTTACAGAATACAACTCTTCGCAAATGAAGGTACCATTCATTAACAGGGGTGATGGCAGCCACCTGATGGCAGTAACCTGAGAAGGTGTGAGGCAGCAAGGCAATGGCTAAAGAGCTTCAGAGGGCATGTGCCTCATTACCTCTGGCCAGTGGGTGGGTAGCTGCGTGGTGGGTGGGATTCTCACTGGGCCAAGAGAAGAGACCACTTACAATGTAAAGGATTCATTCCACTGGGGGTTTAGTGTGGAGCGGATGGTTTTGGTTTTCTGTTTGCTTTCATTCTTGGGATCAGGAATGAGTTTCAGCTTCACGTAAGGATCTGAGAGCCCGTTTGGATCCATGGGAATCAGGTTTTTTGCATCTCGAACTGGGAAGAGAGAGGGAAGGAAATGTTAAACAAAAGGGAACCGCTCCATATGCACCTGTGTTCTGTTGTTGATCCCAAGCTGAACAAAGTTAAGGAAAAGGAGGTGAGACTTGAAAGCATCTTTCTCAATGTAAGAGCCACCTGTCACCATCCCTGGAAGAGTCAGCAGGCATATACGGGTCTTGGTGCCCAGCATCACCTGACCCTCAGGCACTTGCTGGAAATGAAGACACCTGGGTCCCACCCCAAACTTGCTGAAGAAAAATTTGCACAGGAGTCCCTGGGGGACTTTGCAGCTCTCCCCTACCTGACCTGGACCATGGGACTGCAAATGTACTTGAGCTTCCAGTAAGTGGTGATCTCAAAGGCTGTTGGCTTCAAACCCTGACTGTGACTTGGCAAAACTTGTGGGGGGAAGTTGAGGAGATGTTAACAGGATCAGAATTAAATCAGAATGTCTGAGGGAAGTGACCCAAGTACTGGTGCTTAAAAGCTCCAGGTGGCTCTGCTGTACTTGGTGATGCAGAGTTCCTGCACAGTGCTCAGGCCCATGGACCAGCAGTGCAGCCGCCATTTGAGAGCTTGGTAAGCCTGCAGAACCTGGGCCCCACCTCAAAGTTACCAACTCAGAATCCTTATTTTTAGCAATACTTCCAAACTCCAAGGCACATTTTAGCTTGAGAAGCACTAGTATGGGATTCAACAACAAGCAGCAAGAAAGGTCATTTTACTGTAGAAGTAGGGCTGCCAGAAGCCAATCAGGAAGCCAACACACATTCATGTCACAGGTCACTTCCTCTATTAGCTCAAGCCAACCTGTACCACATACCTCTGCTACCTTCCCTGGCTTATTTACAACAGCTCTGATGATTCCCATCACCAGAATCCCCCATCAGTCAGATGCCTTCACACACCTGATCAAGAACAGGCTCCCTAGCCCAGGGATTGTCAGTGTGGCCCTTCGACTGGCAGCACTAGCACCACCTACTGGCCTAGGGGCCAGTGACCTGTGCTTATCAAATGAGCAGGTGATTTTGATGTCGGTGAAGGTTGGAGAACCCATGGATCTAGCAAGTGGTCCCAGATGATGGACTATGAGCAAGAGAAGAGATGTAGAAGAAGGTGGTGCTAAGGTGGCAGCAGGCAGGGGTAGAGGAGGGGATGAGAGAAAGTCAAAGATGCTAGGTTTGAACACGGGCCTAGGGAGTGCTTCTGAAAGTAGAACTCAGAGCTAAGTGTCCTCACGATGCTGGCTGTAGGCTGACAGCCTTATAACCTTGCTTGGCACAGGAAAGAGACAGAGGTGACTATATTAAAGTGGTGTGAGCCAGGGAATGGGTGGCTCAGTTCTGCTAACCACAGAGAAACCAAGTATAAGTTCTTTTGTACCCTGCTACCAATTGTACCTCTCAAGCATTTTTAACCTTTTTTCATAATCTTGCCTGTCTGGGGGAGTGAATAGAACATGAATCAACAAACAGGCATGGCCCAAGAGGCCCAAGAGGTCTGCTTCCAAATCCTGCCCCTTCCCCATGTAACCATGAGCACTGGGGGATGCAATTCCCCAGCCTGTTTCTTAATCTATAAAAATGAACAGCACCTATTTCCAGCAGTAGAGGGCTGCTGGGAGAATTAGGTGAAATAACATATAAAAGCCACTACACAGTTGGGTACTTGAAAGATGAGAAGAAAAAAAAAATCAAGACATTCCATGATATGATTGATGCTGGCAAGGCCTAGGCATGATGGTTTAGATCCATTTCCACTGCTCATCATATCATTTTGAAATCCTCAATGGGGTGGGATGGGAGGACCCCAGCAGATCCAGTGACTGGTGAATTCACCAAGCTTCTTCATAAGGCTTTTTGTTGGTTGTTGTTCCTTATTTTAAAAAGATTTATTTATCTTTATTGAAAAGATTTACAGAGACAAGGAGAGACAGAGAGAAAGCTCTTCCATTTGCTGGTTTACTCCCCAAAAGACTACAAGAGCCAGAGCTTAGCCAATCCAAAGCCAGGAACCAGGAGCCTCCTCTGGGTCTCCAATATGGGTGCAGGGTCCCAAGGCTTCGGGCAGTCCTCGACTGCTTTCCTGGGCCACAAGCAGGGAGGTCGGTGGGAAGTGGAGCAGTGGGATCTGAACTGGTGCCCATATGGGATCCCATCATTTGAACAGGGAGGATTAGCCAGTTGAGCCATTGCGCCTGACCCTGCAGAAGGCTTTTATATGATGCACAAGGTATAGCCTCCTGAAACACGAGCCCTGAGTAGCACAAAAGAAGGAAAATGTAAGAAATGGGCTCTCCTGGAGGGAAAGGACAGGAGCTCGGGTCTGTCTCTGAATAAACAGCATAATGGAAAATCAGGATACTTCCTGAAAGACAGAACTCGCCCACGCATGGTTAGCGTCAGAGGCTGCAGAAAGTCACATCTCAGAGAAGCAGAGGAAGGACCTTATCCAGGCCACTGAGAGCTCCTGACTCACCCCTGGCCAGAGGCAGAACATGTTTGGGTGCTGACTTCTATATTGTCAAGTTACAAAGCCGACAGGCAGCACACAGCTTCCTGAATGTGATCTTCGTAAACAGCACAGGCTGCACTCTTCTGAAAGGTAATGGGATAAGATCCGGATGTGGCTTAAAGCTGTAGGCTTCCCACAGAGATGCTACCGTGTAAGTTGGAAATAAAAGGAGTAATCCATTCCAAATGCCATGGGAGCAGGGAGCAGGTCCAAATTCAATTTCCTGCTGCAGCCAACAGCAACTTCCCAGGCTCAGGAGTCGGGACTGTGAGCATCCTATGTGGGATGTGCCCATCAGGTGAAACTGGGGCTACACACCACCTGCTCTCAACTCTAGCTCTGCTGCTCTATGGTTGGGAGCAACCCTAGTTTCTTCACCTGGAAAGCAGCACCCCCTGCCCTCAGGTCAGGGTTATATAGGTTTGTCAAAGTGGTAACAAGCACACAAGCAAAGGCCTACATGGAGACCGGTTGCGGGGGGACAGCAAAGCCCTGGTCTTCACTGTTCAGGAAGTGGGTTGGCAGCTGAAGGAGCTGGCAGGCAAGTGCTTGGATCCAGGGCAGCAGGGGTGTTTTCTGACATGGCTGCAAGCTGTGTGGCTTTCAGGAAGAAGCAGTGTTCAGGGGCACTGCCCGGCTACACAAGGCATGCACCTGCAATGTCCTGGGCCCACTCTAGGGAATGGGAGTCTCTTGTGTTGCGTGGGGGCCCAGGCTCTGGGGTCATGGAAGGTTCTCCAAGAATCCCTTTGTGAAGTCAGCTGGGACACTGCTGAGTGTATTTGTCATCTTTTGTGTGGGGCTCCTGGACTGGCATTGGTGGCATCATCACTATCTAGTCCTCAAATATATTTGTTTAACATGTTGTTTGATTTTAAATTCTTTTTTAATTTTAAGGAATTCAAAAAAATATGTATTTAAAAGAGCTTCAGAGAGAGGGCGAGGGAGGAAGGGAAGTAGGAGTAAAAGAGGGAGAGAGGGAGAATCTTCGTCTACTGGTTTTATTTCCCAAATGATTGCCACAGTCAGGGCTGGACCAGGCCTAAGTTAGGAGCCAGGAGCTTCATCTGGGGTTTCCACATGAGTTCAGAGGCACAATCAACCTGGGTCATCCTCCTTGCTTTCCCAGGCCATGAGCGGGGAGCTGGATTGAAGTGGCATAGCTTGGATGCCAGCATTGTAAGTGGTGGCTTAAACCTTATGTTGTAAAGCTGGTCTCTCAGTTGCTGTTTTAACACCCACCATTTAAAAGGAAACGTTATCACTATAGTAAATAAAAAGACAAAAGTGCTGTCTAAACAGAAAACAACAAGTAAATATAGGTACAATGAGAACCTGACGGTGTTGCTGATTTCTGGCTGGATACAGTAAGGGAGCTACAGTGGGGAAAGGAACCAGGGTTAGAGGGCTAAGGGACAGCCCAGTCCCAGACAGACACTTTCTTGGTCTTACTACCAAGACTGAGAGCAAACTAAAATGGAGTGGCTTCCTTATACCTACCTTGATGCTTCTAAATGGCAGTTCAGTGTCTTAGAAGTCCTCTGCAAGTACAACCAAAACTCACATCCTCCCACGGCCCTCCACATGTGCAATGCATTGCTGAACTTAGGACCAGTTCTGAAGTTGTGATGGGTGGGGAACACCAGTGGGTCCAGGAACAGCCTAGCTCAGTCCTTCAACTCTTATCTCTGATGTTGCACAAGAACTAAACTGTTTTGACCAATAGAATAAAGAAGGCAGAGAAAAAAATCATGCTACTCTGATAAGCTATTGAGGATGGGATTTTTTAAAGGTCTAATAGGCCATGTGAGATCAGTATAGTCAGCTCAGAGGATCTGGTAGCCTTCGCTGGACACCCTGAGCCATGGTGCCCCAGTGTGGATGGCAGAGCACAGAATCAGCAGTAAAGACAGAGACTTCATCAACAGCCTGCTTGATGGGCAAAAGTGAAGCTGTGACCGTGACTCGTAGACTACCACCAGGACCACTGGCACCACTCCCCTGTCCCATCTCAGGATAAAAAAAACCATATGTTAAAGTGACAGTTCCTCTAATCCTGGAACTGCCAAGGTTAGACTAGAGTCAGTCAGCTCCTACTTGTTCCAAAAACAGTTTGGGATTTAAAAAAAACAAAAATCAGTGCAATCCTGAATTCACTCAGAGAACAGTCCAAGACAACATATGCAGCATCACCTGCGACACGTAATGACACATACCCACGCACTTTAGCGCCTAACTCAGAAGCTGCACACTGAACCATCCTACCTCCCTACCTCCACAGTGGCTTTCTGACCTCCCTCTGGGGTTGCAGTTGCTGAGGGGTCCTCTGGCTGGGTTCAGGTCGAAGTGAGAGTGCACAAACAAGGAGCTTTTGCTGAGGACACAGTCACAAGCTGGACTTGTCAGCAATGTCCCACAGAGACCCTGCCTCGCCCACACAGGGTCACTGCCTGGCACTCACAAAGGTCAAGTTCTGCACC